TATATATATATTTCAAGTAGTTAGATGATATAAAAATTACTATAATAAAACACATGTAAGTCGCACAAGTAACAAGTGTCGTTCTAAAATTTATAATAATATATATTTTTTGTAAAAAAGTAAATAAAATTTAAAATAATTTTCTCATTAATTTTAAAATTTAAGAATAATTTTTTAACAAGCAGTCATGTAATACACGGGTGCTGTACTAGTATAAATTGAAAGAGGTTGTTGAATTAATCTATAATAATTACTTTGACTTTGTAATTAGATTGATTGACTTTTTTTTTTCCAAAACGATAGAGATATTATATATAACATACAAAAAGTACAGCCACCAGTTGAATATGAACAGCCAACAGCTGAATACAAATAGCTAACAGCTGAATAAAGTAGGAGGACAGTCGGGATAATACTCAAAACACACAGAAACACTAACACATAAAAACACTACGAAACTAAAAGACCCCAACAGGATAATATCGAGTGTCCGATCCCAACAGGATAATAAATTGACACTCGGGCTCACTGAGGCTAAATAGCCCAAACCAAAAACACAGATCCTAAATCAAACAAAACTAAACAAGACCGGTAATACATAAACCAAAGACACTAGCCCTCCCTCTACAGTAATCCTAACCAAACGAGCAGCCACCAAATCAACCCAGGGAGATCCTATAGCAGAAGAAGAGCAACCCCTCCATTGTCAAACCGCCTAGCTGAGTCGAAACTCCTGTCACGAATCCTACCCAAAGTCAATTCTTCCAAACGCCAGGAAAACATCAAGAAAGATCCCAACACCGCCAAAACAGTGTTCACCCCGGAACCCAACCCCAGAGAACCAGGGGAAAATGAGCTGACTCGATGCCGAAACCCCAGTCCCACCTTCCCGAATACACGAAGACGCCTGAGCCACACAAGAACCCGTCCCCCGAACCGCAGGCACCAAACCCCGCCTCTCCACATAGAGCCGCATCAAAGAGGGCACCAAAAAGGTAGAGAAAGCAGAAAGTACAGCCAGTCGCAGGCAAAAGAGAACCGAGACAGATCAACGAGAAAAGAAATTTACCCTCAATCAAGACCAAGATGTTTCGGCATATTCTCTAGAAAGAAAAGTGGAATCTCACAAGGATAATTAATGCTTGAAAAGGACGGACCTAAATCCAAGCCAATCATTAACCAAAAGCTCGCCTCCTTCTATCACCATTCCGCCGGCGAAACAGAACGTTGCAGACCAACCGACCCATGCACACCTCGGCGACCAGAAGAACGAACATAAACATCCAACCAAGCCGTCGAAAAGCGAATCCGGAGAGATGCTCGCCCGAGAAGCCCAATACGCTCTGACCCGAGAAATTGGACCGCCAGAGCCGCACCCGACCTTAACCCACGGCACCGCAACCCGTAGGCCCGCCACAGCACCGAAGGCCTGCACCCGCAAACCCTAACCCTCATTCCATAGAAGGCAAATTGGAATCGGCAGCCACAAGAACCACCGATATCCATGGCCAGCAGAGTCGCGGCACCTGGGAAGGGCCGGGCGGCGTGGGAACGACTACCGGCAAGGCTGGAAGCCGAGAGGAAGGCAACGATTTTCGATTTGTAGCGGCGAGCTAGAGAGAGGAAATTGGGGGTTCAAGAGTGAGAGAGTTTTAAATTGATTGACTTACTATTTGAAGAAATATAGTAAAAATTATTTTAATATATTAAAGTAACCGAAGGGAATTGATTGACTTACTATTAGAAGAAATATAGTAAAAATTACTTTAATATATTTGAAAAAAAAAATTATTTATACTTATTGCAAATCCTTCGTTTAATAGCATGGCTTTCAATATAAATAAAGTGATATTGAATTTAAACATTATTTTTTGATAATTATCACAATAAAATGTGATTCTTTGTATTAATTATGAATCACTACAATTTCTTATTCTTTTGGTAACCAACCATATACCATGATTTTCTACTACATGTCTTCCAAAAAGTGACTACTAAATAAAAATATTATTTAAACATGCATGATAAAATCACAAATATAATTACAAAATAAAAATTGAAACCATTTATGCCGCTTGACATGCAAATCATTAGTTTAGTAAGAAAAATATAAATATTTATAATATATATTGTTACAAATTATAATGACAAACCAAAGGATCATATGTCGAACTATCCACGTAAATTATTAATCTGCAAAAAGTTGTAATATATATTGTTATAAATTATACTCATAAGCTAACAAGTGATCTATCGAACAATGATGTAAATTGTAAGCTTAGAAAAAAATAAAAATAATTTATAATATCCATTGTTATTAATGATAATGATAAATCAGTCAGTGTGGAGCTATCATATAAATTATCAGATTAAAAAAAATTAAAATGCTTACAATATACATCATTATAAATTATAAAAATAAAATAATATAATATCGATGTAATTAAAAATTATTAAATTATTAAATTTTAAAATAATATATATTACAGTCTTTTTCAATTAGTTATTGATTATAATATTTGCCACAATTTTTTTAATATTAGCATAACTTATTTTAGAATCTGAATATTGTAATAATGTATGAGTAAGAGAATATAGAGTGAGCAACATTCTGAGTGTATTGTTTGTTGATAATGTTTGAATATGTTAAATTGTCATTATTTTAATTCTAAGCAGGAACTCTAAAATGACAACTATTTTATAACTGGTGAGATCACTACAAAAAAATGTTATATTCCAACGGAAAATCTTATAGTATGATCTTTCAATGGAGATTTCAACGGATATTCCAATGATATAACTTTCGTTGGAATGATTCCAACGGAAATTCCAATGAAAATATTCCGTTGGAATGTGTTTTTCATTGGAATTTTAGATGGAATTTGATGATTCCAACGGCTATATTTCCAACAATTTTTTACCGTATGAATTTCTGTTGGAATATGCAATTTCCGTTGAAATTTTTATTTTCAGCCCTATTGGAAAATCTACCGTTGAAATCGTCAAAATCCAACAAAAATTCCAATGAAAAACTCATTCCAACGGAATATTTTTGTTGGAATTTCTGTTTGAATCTATTGAAAATCCAACGGAAATAATAGCATTGAAAAATATCCATTGGAATAGCCGCTGGAATTCTATTTGAATATATTTCCGTTGAAATTTCATTATTTTCTTGTAGTGGATAAACATATAAATCATATGTTAAATTATTATATACCATAAAATAAAAATAAAAATTATTAATATTCAAAACTACTTTTATGCTCATCAATATTCTTTCATGGTTTTATATATGTAATTTATAATTATTGTTCCGTGCATGGCACGGGCTACGTACTAATTTTACATGAGAATATCATTTTTTTACCGAAATAATATGACAATGATATGTACTAATATTTCACTAGGCACATTAATTAAGTTATATATATTATTCTATATTTGCTGTAAAGCAAGATTAAGGTGTGCAATATTCATGAGTGGTTTCACGAACGACACACAGTGATAAATATTATTGTCTATGCATGTATAATTATGAATGTGATGCGGACCCAATGATTCCATTTAGATTTAGATGTTTCTCTCGTCTTTTGTTTTCCCATCAAGTTCTGGTCATGATTTGGTAAATAGAATGTGGAACAGATGACTGGCTGTGTTGATGATTGTGTAAGCTAGACTAGATATAATCTTTAAAGTATAAAATGCATGCGGCACATGGTTTTACTTTGAAGATTATGTAAGTCAATGATAGTGTAGATTGAGTAAACCCTAAGAAATACAAAATCTCGCTTTTAGAATATTTGATTTTGTACTCATGTATACAATTAAATATCTCAAGTCTTATTAGAATTAAGAAAATAAATAAACAAAAATAATAAGAAAAAGAAAGCTCATAATAGTAGAGGATACTTTACATATGTGAACTAAAATTGCTTTCTTGATCAACATCTCCAACTTTTGAAAGAAAAAGAATACTCATAATAGTAGATGATATCTGACCCTAAATTTGCATTCTTAATTAATATCTCCAAATTTTTTATAATAATTCAGTTCAATGGAAAATAAGTTTATAAATTCTCTCTTTTGGAAAAGCAGATTCTCTCAAAAGGCAACCTAAATTTTCGATGTTCAGAGTGTGTTTTATCATGTGGAGTTGAGATTAGATTTTTTTTTGGTGTTGGGTGTTTTCTCATTTTAAGAATATTAGTTTGACATTATCCTACAAACCCTAAGTGTTTTCTAAAACCTAAGAATATTGAAGTCTGAGCATTAAATATACCTATATAATTAAGCATATGTCTAGTTTTAAAACTAGTAATTGCTTCTTTAAAAGTTTGGACAAACAATACTAGTTTTTCTTCCTTATTCCTAAGGTTTTGCTTAAGCTTTATTATTCCTAAGGTTTTGCGTAAGCTTTATCAATTGTTCACGTATTTGATCAGTTGTGTTTACCTTACGGCTTTGTTATTTTACGGGTAAATCCCAAAAAATTTCGTTCATTTTTATAATTTAATTTTGAATTATGAAAATTTTATTTGCCATCAAATAGACTCTTTTAAAGGTAATAACACTACAAAATAGGGCTCAAAGAGCAAAAGGATTTTTATCTTATTTTATAGAGTTTTGAGTTACTTTTTATAAACTTTCGTGGATCGTGGTCAAAGGTTATTATGTCAATTTTTTGTCTTGTTAAGGGTATTTGAACTAAATACCTCGAAATAATCTGTCTTAATAATGGCTAATGATGTGTTCCCAGCTATAGTTCCTGTAATTTCACTTTTAATGGTCTTATATTATTTTACTGGAGTACTATGAGAAACTCCTTACCTCCAGTCGTCTACTATTCACTGGTTTTGTGGTGTTGTTTGTGGTGTAAACATATTGCAGGTGCTTATTGCCAAAACATGTGGGCTCAAGGGTTTGAAGATCAAGAATTATCGTGTTTGTTTTTGTTTCGATAAAATCCCATATCTGGCCTAACTCATAAGTCATAAAATATGGGATTTGGTAGATTCGCTTCTGCCTTTTCTATTCTATGGTTATTATTCTTCAGGCCTTCGATTTTTGCCCACGAATCCTATACGGATGAGTCGCTTGTTCTTGCATTTTTACAGAAAATGGGCTTAAACCCCTCTCAAGAAAATAACTCATTCTGCTTAGGAACAAGAATATCTTATGATGCCAATGGAAAACATATTATCACGTTGGATTTTTCAAATGTGGGTTTATCAGGTCATATTCCGGAAAGAACCATTGGGAGGCTTTCAAAGCTCGAAACTCTGAATCTCAGCATTAACAAAATCTCTTCTTTGCCGGGTGATCTCTGGAGCTTGCGCCGTCTAAAAAATCTCAATCTCTCATTTAACAACATATCTGGGTTTATACCCAATAAAGTGGGTCATTTGGTTCATCTTCAAAGCTTGGACCTTTCTTTCAACCGTTTTCATGGCAGCATACCTGAAGCCATAGGCTCCCTTGTGAAGCTGCAAGCTCTAAATCTCAGTAACAATCAACTTGCTTCAGATATACCGTCAAAAGTTCTGAAATGCAAGTCATTGGCATATCTTGATCTCTCATCAAACATTCTCACTGGCCCTCTTCACAATGGCTTTGGGGCTGCATTTCGAGAGCTGCAATTCTTGAACTTGGCTGGAAATCGCATTACGGGCCGGGCTTCAGATTTAGTCGGCCTGAAGTCGATTCGAGTTTTGAATATCTCCGGAAATATTTTCAGGGGCTCTGTTGTCGGTGTTTTCGAAGGACTAACTGAGGTGGTTGACCTGAGCAAGAACCGTTTTCAAGGTCTCATGGGTCAACTGAGATCAAACTCCACGTTCAACTGGTCGAATTTGGTGTACTTGGACATCTCTGAGAATCAGTTCAGTGGGGTGTTTTCGTCTCGCATTAGTCTTTTCGCTGTAAATCTCAAGCATCTCAACCTCGCACACAACAGATTCTCCAAGCAGCCATTCTTGAGAGTTGACAAGCTTTCCAATTTAGAGTACCTCAATTTATCAGGAACAAATATGATTGGTCCTATTCCCAGTAATATCTCATTTTTAAGAAGCTTGAGACTTCTTGATTTGTCCCATAACAATCTCACCGGCCAAATTCCTTTCATTCCCACAGCAAACCTCAAAGTCCTCGACCTTTCTTACAACAACCTAACCGGAAACATCCCTTATACTCTCCTCCAAAACCTCCATAACTTTACGAGGTTCAATGTCTCTTACAACCAGTTGAACGTCTGCATCGGCCTCTACAACTCGTCTTTTATCGGCCTCACTAAAAGCTGTCCTATAGCAGTCGACTCATCTTTTTTCCGAAAAAAATCTCCAAACCACAAAGCTCTGAAGCTGGCTCTCGTCTTAACCGTCTCATTGTCCTGTCTCGTCTCAGGCCTTCTCCTCGTAGCCTTCGGGCTCCGTTACCAATCCAAACGAAACCCTAGTAATAACGAGGAGCAGCAGGCCCAATCAGGCCCAATTGCGCCCCAGACAAGTCCTGCCTCGTGGGCCGCTGACTTCAGGCAGGCCCAATCCTTACCGGTCGTGATTTTCCACAAGCCGCTGCTCAATCTCACGTTCGCAGACCTCGTGCAGGCGACTTCCGGCTTCGACCGTCACACGATGCTGGCCGAGGGCCGGCTGGGGCCCGTTTACGGCGGGCTGCTTCCGGGAGGGCTGCACGTGGCAATCAAGGTCATGGCCCGCGGGCCCAATTCGTCCGACCGGGAGGTCAGTCAAGAGCTCGAGCGTCTCGGCCGAATCCGGCATCCCAACCTGGTGCCCCTAGTCGGGTACTGCCTAGCTGGCGAGCGGAGGATTTTGATCTACGAGTACATGGAGAACGGGAATTTGGAGAGCCTGCTTTACGATCTGCCTCTAGGGTTCCGGACGAGTGAGGATTGGAGCATTGAGGGGTGGGGGTTCAGGTACAGGGTGGCGCTGGGGACGGCACGGGCGCTCGCGTACCTCCACTACGGGTGCTCGCCGGCGATTGTTCACGGGGACGTGAAGGCGAGCAGCGTGTATCTCGACTCGGAGCTCGAGCCGAGGGTTTCGGATTTCGGGCTTGCTGGGATTTTCAACAGCGGGCCTGAGGATGAGAAGGGTAAGGGATATGCGGGCCCGGAGTTTTTCGGGCCTGGGAGCAGCTCGCCGGTGGAGGGGACCAAAAAAAAGGCGGATGTTTATGGGTTTGGGGTTATTCTTCTGGAGCTGATGACGGGGAGAAGGCCGGTCGGGGATGAGTGGAGAGGAGGGGATTTGGTGAGTTGGGTTAGGGAATTGGTGCGGAGGAATGAAGTGTGGCGGGCGATTGATGTGAGAATTAGTGGGACGGAGCATGACGAGAGAATGGTTGAGGCGTTGAAGATTGGATATCTGTGTACGGCTGAGATTCCATCGAAGCGGCCATGTATGCAGCAGGTTGTGGGTTTACTTAAGGATCTTGAACCGGTTGAACAATAGGAAAACAACAA